CCTTTTTACTATTTTGAGGATATTTTTAAGCCACTTTTGAATTCTAAAAGTACACATGTAACCATAGAGCAACATAATTTTACAGTTAATCAAAGGAATTTTAGAGAAATTTAGATGCTGTATTTTACTGATAAAGAAACAGGCCCAGAGAATTGAGATGGAAACCCCTAAGCATCATCTAAGTTGATAAAACACCTCAGCAAGAACTGCCTTACCAAATTTCTTGACTTTTTTTTAAAGTTTGAAAATATTTCCAGTTGATAGCCTCATAAAAGAATACCAGGAATATAGGAATATCACTCAAGGGAGCATGTTCCATTGACACATTTATATTTCCCAGAAATATTTTTAAACTGACACTTAGGTTGGTATAATTTAAAATTGAAAAGTCATTTTAAATGTTATAGATTCATTGGGTCAACTTATTGACACTGACTAGGAGTGTTGGTCAGATATTCACTTTCATTTATTTCTTTGCCCAGCAAGAGAAAAAGTCCAAGGGTCCTTGAAACATTTAGATCCAAGTAAGCAATGGTACATTCTCTTTAGCGATAGAAATTTTTAAAATAATTTCATAGGTATGAAAGAAGTTCTCAGAGCATGATCTGGATGGTTGCTCTCTTCATCCAAGACTTTCCCCCCCTTCTGAAAAGGGAAGGGAGCTAGTGAAAATTATCCGCCCCACATGGATGGGACCTGTTAGCCAACAGCTGGACCATGAACACCAGCAGAGTATCCAGTTTATATCATCAAGTGTTGGTTGAATGAAGGAATAAATATTTCTCAACTTGAATGGTCAGGATACACCCCAGAACAAACATGCACCTTGTTTTTAAATTATCAGTTAGTGTATTGAATCCATAGATCATGCCTCAGTTTGGAAGCATCATAAATGAATTCTTTGTAGAAGAAAAACCCAACAGTTTATAGTGAAAACTCAGACTGGATGCTTTGACTAGCAGAAAAGGTGCTGTCTTCCCTGGATATTGGTGGAAGGGGAAGGAAGATGGGTTATGCCCGAAGTGTGAACAGTCTATACATGTCCTTTTGCCCATTTTCCAAAATTGTCCTTAGAAAAGATGCCAAACATGTCAGTTTCTGTCCAGACATTTTTTAATCTCCTTTCAGTTAGAATCAAGGAATTACTCTCTTCCATGGAAATGATTCTCTCACTCTTAAATTACTAAACCAAGAGAAATTCAGACAGAGTTGAGAACAATCATGAAATTATACTCCCCTGGGACTTTTCTTTTTCACTCCTTAAAAGGTTTGGAACATGTAACTAGCAGAGTTGTCATGAGTGGTAAACAAATAAGCTAAATAACTGAGATTTGTCCATTCCTTTGGGTCAGAAAAAAAATCACACTGAAAGTTAAAATTAAATGTTGTTTCCTGCATTTGGTTAGCTTGTACTCTTGGCTATTTTTTTTCCCCTTAGGAATTCTAAACTTTTCTATCTTCAGTGAGTTTTGTGGCTAATACATGACTGAATGGCTCTGAGTAGAGCCTGTCTGCTAATAAACACCAAGTGAGTGTATCCATAGGTTAGTTAATAAGCACTTCAATTATTGTGTGAAAAATCCCTTTTCTCGGTCCTATTTTCACATATTTTGAAACAGAAACCCTGGGCCCATTATTTAGTGTTCCTTTGACTTATTTGGGGGTTAAGGAGTGAATTTATTTTATTTCTCATTTTTTGTTGTCTTTTGGTCAGGATTCTTCTGGTTGCAAGCAGCAGAAACCCATGTTGGACTATCTTAGACAAGAAGAGTGTATACTAGAAAAATATATACAGTAGATCACATAAGAAAGGATTGACCATCCACATCAAAGAATGTGGGGGAAGGAAAAAATGGGTACCAGAAACAACTCACAGCACTTTCTATTTCTTCTCTGTCTCTCTTTCCCTCCCTCTTTTTATCTCTCCCTCTCTCTCCATTCCCTGCTTTTCTCTGTGTATTATACTATTCTTTGCCAAAGCAGCAGACAAGCTCCCCTTGTCAGAAAATAGAGACATCGGTACCTTCTAAGGTACATTGCTTTCTCCAAGGACAGGTTGCAATTATCTTCTAGAAAGTCTTGTTAGGGTCTTATGATTGTCCAATCTTGCAACTTAGACCAGTCACCTGTGGCCAAAGATGTGGTATGACTGGTCCAACCTGGATCAATGTCTCCCCTGGGCCAATTACTTTGGCCAAGGGATGGGAGTAAAGAATACCACACTGAACACAGAGCCAGTTCTCAGAAAGCAGAGAAAGTTCTTACTGGAGAGGTTGTGTTGGGTAGAGGTGAGCCCCATACTCTCTCTTTTTAGGGTAGGAAAATTATTGCTGCATATATATAATCCCATTTCCAATTTCATGTGAGTCTGACATTAGTGACATATTAACAAAGTCATAATACTAATCATTCTGCCTTCTGGACCTTAAAGAGAGGAAGTTTCAATGAAAACAGTAAATGCTATAAGGGCAGAATTACAGTAAAAATAATGGTCTTTCAAAAATAGCTGGAAAGGGCAGAATGTTAAGGAGGTGTCTGTCGCATGTCCAAGGGGAATAGGGCACAGCAAAAAGACATTTATGTATTTGTCATATTAAACACAGGGTTGTTGTCCTTTTTTAAACACATATTCTTTGGAATTCTAGATAAACACTAGTTGCATGAAAAAGCCACATCAAAAAAATATACACCTGGATTTCACAATAAGACATTTGTTCCTAAAGGAACAAATTAACTTGTTAAATACTAGGATTATATAATTTTGAATGTATTTCCAGTAAGACAGCCCATAGCTTGGACAAGACACTCCATAGCTATCACCAAGGTTGGGGTCAGTGTGGTTTTAAAACTTAAAAGATTTCAGTCACAATAATTTTAACACTTATTTTGTGTAAAGCCTGGGGATCAAAAAAATTTCAAAAGGAAATTGCAGTAATGACATCTTTTGTGGGAGCAATAATAAAGTATGTAGACACAAAGGTAAATACGTGTAGGTGATCTCTTACAGAAAGAGCCATTATAAGGAGCCAAGGCCAAGATTTATCTGGGCAATCAAAGGAGAGAATCACCAGAGGCTGATCTAGAAAGGGGCATGGACAAGGAGACCTTGGCTGTGCCCACTCCTTTACCAGAAGCAGATAGAGCAAATGGAACTTCATGCAATCATGAGAATATTCTACATGCTGTCTCCCATTCAAATGGAAATACCATCAAGGTGGAAGAATAACATGAGAAAAAGTACAGTAGCAGGTGTGTGCCTGGACAGTTTGGAAAGCAAAATACTGCCCAGTTTGTTAGGTATGATGAGTGCCAATCAGGAAAGGAAATTGGGCACCAGAGCATAACTATTTGGGGATAGACAGCCAGTTATGACGTTGGTACATACAAAAAGGAAGAATATTTGTGTTGGAGTGGAAGGACTAAGGGTACTCAGAGTGCAAAGTCTTTGCACACAGGAATTTTATACCTAGACAGCTTGACAAGTGACATTACAAAGCTTTAACATTTCTGTTTCTTTAATTGTGACAGTCATGATCGGGCAATCTCTTTTAAATGATCAAACAAAGATAAAAGACTTTTTATCTTTGTTTGATCATTTAAATAAAATGAGTATGATACAAAAGTTATAACCAACGGAATTATATTTAATTGCTTCAAGGATACCCATCTTTGAAATCTATCTTTGTGTCCTTGGGTGGGTAACTTCCAAAGCATATCAGAAATCCTCTTCTGTGCTAACATTGAATTTAGCTTATCTGAGCATCTTCATCTCTGGAAAGAGTGGTGGGGCCTTTCACAGGAAGCCCACACTATTAATTTGGTACTCCAGTAAGAAGAGTGGAGTCCAGCTGTGATTGTGGCCTGAGCAATAGCAGAAGGTTCCATAGGTTCTTCATGTGGAATAAAGAAAGAGAAGGAATTGGAGGGCAAAATGACCCTCGCAGAATTGATAAGCATTTATTGAATACCTACTGAATGCTAGGAATTGTGCAGAGAACCAAGGAAAACACAGTTTCTGCCCTCTTAAGCTTGGTTTAATAAGAAAATAGATGCAAGACAATAAAATACAGTCAACACTTAAACAACTTAGGTTTGCACTGCCTAGGTCCAATTATACATGGGCTTTTTCCAATAAATACGTTGCAAAAATCCTTTGGAGATATTTGACAATTCAAAAAAAGCATTTCCTTTTCTCTAGCTTACTTTAGTGTAAGAATACAGTATATAATACACAGAACATACAAGATACGTGTTAATCAACTGTTTATGTTATCAATAAGACTTCCTGTCAACAGTAAGCTATTAGTAGTTAAATTTTGGGGGAGTCAAAAGTTCTATGCAGGTGTTCAGCCGAAAGGGGGACTGGGGCTCCTAGCCCCTGTATTGTTCAAGGGTCAGCCTTCATGGCCGTGCACTAAAAATTCAATGTTAGCACAGAAGAGGATTTCTGATATGCTTTGGAAGTTATCCACCCAAGGACACAAAGATAGATTTCAAAGATGGGTATCCTTGAAGCAATTAAATATAACTCAATTGGTTATAACTTTTGTATCATACTCATTTTATTTTAAGCTTACAATACCTCCAAGAGATAAAGGCATTAATAATCTCATTTACAGCCAAGAAAATGTAGGCCCTTAACCAAGATCATACTTTTAATAAGTCATAGAGTAGGGATTGAAACCTAGGTCCATACCATTGGTTTGGGTTTTGAGGGATTTTTTTTTTCGTCTCTGCACTGCACTGAGCTGTCATGCCCAGCATAATAATCTAAGGAATCCTGTTTAATTAAAAAGAGATAAGAAGAATTTCACATTAAAACCTAGATAATGCAATGGTTTTAAATTTTGTCCTCATTGCCTATGTTAGATGTCTGGTTATTTTCACTATTGTTAAGCATCAGTCATGGATTTCCTAACTGCAGATACTGTTTGAGGAAGCCTGGAGAGATGGGGCTTTGTGATAATGTAAAACAGCAAACTGGCATTTTGTTTCCCCAGCTTATTCAAAAATTGACGGATGTTGCTGAAGAATGTCAGAACAATCAGTTAAAGAAGCTCAAAGAGATCTGTGAGAAGTAAGCCTCCATTCTCATTACAATAGACTTTGCATCTAAACGTTTTAAACAAATTGCCATTTGATTTACCTTTTTCTCCTTTTACTTTCATTTTGACTTCAGAGAGAAGAAGGAACTAAAGAAGAAGATGGATAAAAAGAGGCAGGAGAAAATAACAGAAGCTAAATCCAAAGACAAAAGCCAGATGGAAGAGTAAGGAGAAAGAATTGCTTCTCCATGACCTTTTACCTGGGGATTATTTTATTCCATATCAGAATAACAGGTTCTTAAACCATACAAAGACCCATCTGTGACTTTTCTTCTGTAATTAACCTTATAAAAGATCTCTTCTGTAAGATTTCTAACAGGGAACTCAAAGAGAAGTTCAATAAAGGTTTGAGACGCACCCAGGGCCTTTTAAATCAAGACTGATTAAAGAGCTTTCTTTGGGAAAAGGCTAAATCCTCACTTCCAATACTGTCAGGCAGACTTCCTGGCATTTAGTGAAAACAGAGCCTGCCCTTGGGTGGAACCTGACCTTTGTCCAGAGCTGGTCAATTGTACCTTCTTTGCAGCAGTAATAAGTATGTTGAGAGTTCTGTACACTTTCATCTGGAAGTCTGAGGTTCCCGTGTTTGTCCATGCCCAGTGAGCTCATATAATGCTCTCTTTGCTTTTAGGGAAAAGACAGAGATGATCCGGTCCTACATCCAGGAGGTGGTGCAGTACATCAAGAGGGTATGTCGGTTCATCTTTCTTTGCTTTGCAAACGGTGTGTGAACACTTGACAAGCATAGTGTGAGCCTGTGGAGGGAAATGCCATGCCTTGTTGTATCTGTTTATCACCAGCACTCAGAAGAGCTGATTCACAGAGCAGGCATCTGGAATCAGTGTTTCTGCAAGTTTAATTACAAACCTGTATATAAAATAGCTCATCTAAGATAGACATTAAGGATCGTTTCCAAAGTCAGGAGCCTTGAAAAAATGTCAATAGGAAATTCCCCAGAAGAACCTTTAGTTGTCATCAGTGGTGGAGAAGAGAGCAACCTCCAAAGGCACTTTTCTTTTTAATTGGTATTATGGAAATTTTATTACAGTATAATCCCCTCATTACCCCCACCCCCACCCCGTGGACCCATCACCCAGCGCCAGCACTGACCAACAGTCTCCTGTACTTTTAAGGGCAGTTGTTGACGAGGATATGGAATAATAAAATGTATGCTCTAGATCTTAAAAGCTTTCAGTTTTTTTCTGAAAATACTCACTTGAATGCTTGATGAAAATGACTTTCTTTGTAATTTTCTCATAGTTAGAAGAAGCCCAAAGTAAAAGGCAAGAAAAACTCGTAGAGAAACACAAAGAGATACGTCAGCAGATTCTGGACGAAAAGCCCAAGGTAAACCGAACCAAATACCAATACACAGTAATTTCATTTTATTTCCATTCAATTCAAATAAGACCTCCTTGGTGCACGCGGCACCTCACACACAATCTCAGATCAGTTCTCCCATGCAAAACTCATGTATCTCTCAGTGATGGCAAAAATTTCTACAGCAATATTTCATAAGCATTTATCATCAACGGGTGGTCAGCTTTAAAACCTGTAAATGCATGGAACCCAGATGAGAATATTTAGTTTCAGTTGCTCTTGGTTGTGGTTCAGGCATAGGTGTTTTTAAAACATTCCCCATACTCCAAGCCAGGATAGAGGGAATTAGAGAAATTAGCCAAGCCCCTTCAGCTGTATCTCAGGTAATACTGTGATGGCAGACTCTGTATCTGTCCCCAGCAGAGGACGCCCTGTACCAAAATCGCCCTGGTTTTTATCCAACAAAATTTTCTCATTAACACCGAAAAAAAGAAACTATTTTTCTTATGATAGTATTTTATTGTGCCTTCACTTTAAATTTACCTTATGCTTATTGTTTGATCAAAATCAATTGATCATAAACAGTAACTTGAAATTAACTGGTCTTTACAAGTCAGGTAACTGTCAGGTTAGAAAACAGCATCTTGTTTTTAAATCATTCCATACATTTTGACTCATCACCAAATATTTTCCTGTTTGTGAAAAATATGCTTTTCAGTTTTCCTGTCTGTCTAGCTAAAGTTTAATATATCTACACTAAAAGGGTGCTCCTATTTCATTTAAGTACTTTTTCAACCTGCCAGACTCGAAAGTATTAATTTTGTTACATTATATACATCAGTTTACTTCTTACATATTTTTATGGCTAATTCTAAATATATTTTTATGGTTATTTCTGCTCTTCTTTCATATTTATTGGACAGTACATTTATTTAATATTTTTGACTCAAAGTTTTTAGGCTGGACAATATAGATTCTCAAGCAGCAATGAAAATCCAAGAATTAATAATTACTTAGATATGATGCTATTTTTTATGTTTTTCATATAAATATACAAGTTAAATACTCCTAACCATCTTTTCTGGTTGATTATGCATTAGTAAAGTGGAATAAATTTTAACATAATTCCAGAAATTGCCATACTTTCCATTTAGGATCTTTTAAAAATACTCAAATGTTTGGAGCAAAAAATCCAGGTTTGACTGAAATTTAAAGAAATGCTTCAGCAGTAATCAGTCCCAAGTGATATATTCTAATGCATACATTTTTCAACCTATACTATCTGAATTCAAATTTGTCATTACTTTTTACACTGACAATATATACTTACTTTACACTAAGTGTAAAATCTTGATATATCAGTTTTTATATTACTAAAAACTCTGTCTAGAGAAATATTGTTATTCCTACAGAGTTTTATTTTGCTTTGTTTTGTCACAAAATGTCAACTACTTTACTCATAGATAAAATGCAATCTCAAACATGTTTAAATTACATAACTCAAAGTATAAATACAAAGATTTTATGTTATTCTTCTAGGCCATTATGATTAACACCTACTGTTGAAGCACCTTTAAACTTTTTCCATTGGATATAACCAAACATTAGAAGAACTAATAATTACTGGACAATTTATAGTCAGGGTGCATTCAACAGCAACTTTAAAGAATGTACAATTAAAACTGGCTTAAATAAAAATAAAATTTAGTAAGTCTTATTATGGGAAGAGGTATTATCACAGTTCAGGGAGTGGTTAATTTAGTAGCTCAACAATCTCATCAAGATTCTAGGTATTTTCAGAATTTCCACTGTGCTATTTGAGTTTGTCATCTTTAATTCTTAGGTGATAAACCTACAATCACAAGATGACTGCCATAGCTCCATGCCTCACACCTTTTGAAGCCATGTCTTTAACAGCGGAATGTCTTCATCTTGTAACCCTTTATAGGATTGAGGAAAACCTTCCTAAATCTCCCCAACAGGCTTCACTTCATTGGATAGAATTACATCATCTGCCCATTCCTAAACAAATCATGGACTTGCTAGGGTGATTTTCATGACAGGCTTAGAGTAATTAAGCCCATTCAAAAGGGAGGAGGGAGTTTGGATTCTCCTTAATTCCATGGTCACCAGGTACCTGAACAAAACTGATGTTTTTTATCAAAAAAGTAGGTAAGAGATAGCAATTGGGTAGGTAATGAACAGTATGGACTACTACCAAATTTATAACAATTTTCCATTGTACCTGAACAAAACTGATGTTTCTTATCAAAAAAGTAGATAAGAGATAGCAATTGGGTAGGTAATGAACAGTATGTACCACCACCAAATTTTTTTTTTTTTGAGAGGGCATCTCTTATATTTATTGATCATATGGTTGTTAACAACAATAAAATTCTGTATAGGGGACTCAATGCACAATCATTAATCAACCCCAAGCCTAATTCTCAACAGTCTCCAATCTTCTGAAGCTTAATGAACAAGTTTTTACATGGGTACCACCACCAAATTTATAACAATTTTCCATTTCTTCTTTGGCCCCTTAGAAAGTGCTCTGAAGTGTTTCCGAATTTTTAGTAGTTCTGTTGCCTTCATTTTTTGCTGCAAATAGGTACCATTTTGATTTCTCTTTGCTTGTCATCCATGGTGTTGCTCTTGTGACCATCTTGTGTCTGGATTTCCAGGTTGCCCTTGAAGATTATTAGTTCCATATCAAACTAAACCATTTATTGAGAGGTGTTCCTCATGGCTTAAAAATGTTGTGCTTTGGAACCATGACTTTAATAATACAATAAGGAATCATGGCTGTGGATATTGTAGAACACTGTGGCTAATAAAGGGAAATGGCCATGAAAAGGAGCAATAATAAACACTGGAGTGAAATAATAAGATCAAGTATAGGTCATATGGGGAAAGACCAAGCAGAGGGCAACAAATATAAACAAATGAAAGACCAGGCCAGCATAGCAGTTATCCATGCTCCTGTAATTATTAGATGTGGACCAGAAATAGAATAGCACTGGCTTTGAAATAATCCCTCTTCACATCCAGTACTGGAATGACCTTTGAAGCTTGACACAGATAAGGGGAAATTAACAAACACAGAAACGAAATAGAGGAGCATCTCAGGGAAATGAAACTGACCAATAACAGTTATAAAAGAGGTTAACTGAGTCAGTTCTATTCAGCCAGAAATATGAGAAGGCAATGACTTTATGACATCTAGAAATTTATGAACTATTGCATTACTGAATATTGGACAAGGAAATTGAGTTGACACTATGATAATATTGAAGATAGTTGTGATCTTATAAAGAGGAGTGCATACTGAACTTTGGCAGAGGTTACTGAGGGGAAAAGAGTTATTCGAGTACTTTACAGGTGGGATAAGCAGTTTTTTAACTAAAAACCAATAATGGCTAAGCTTTTCCTCTCAGCCAAAAATATATACTACATAGCATCCTATTTCTTCCCATTTGTGAGCTTCTTTTACTATTTTGTCCAATATAATCACTTACTTCTTCATCCACTTATCTAATGTAATAATGTGTTATGTTGCTAACCTCTCCCTAAAGAGGGAGGAAGGTCTTTTTAATTGTTTTCTCTTAGTGTTGCTATTTTCAGCTGTTCTGAACCCAAACACAGTCTGTATAATTTTCCAAGCCATTGGTAACCAAACAACTCCTTTAAAAGTGAACAGGCAAGTATACAATTTTTTTAAAAAAAAGAAATTTGAAATTCCAATTGCTAAAAGACAAAACAATTCTCCAGGAGTAAGGAGTTTGGTCTAGATTTAGAACAAGGACCATAACAAAGATTAATTCAAAGTATAACTTCCCAACCTTTTACTTAATTATGTGCTTATGATCTGGAAAGATCAACTCAAGTTTCCAACATTGTTACTATCATAGGTAATAGAACAGTCATAGGAGAATATGCAACAATCAAAACCAGGTTAAAAATCCATTTCATTTATACATGTGGACCAAGAACTTCCATCCCATTGGTCCATATTTGGGAACAAATTTGGATAGCCAGATTGTGGAAGTTTTATTTTAGAATTTCCTACTTTGTGATATGTATCAGGCCTTTTTCATGTGTCCATTTTTCCCATTAAGAAAAGAAATTCAATGATTCTATTCCTTTTGCATGTACTTTTTGAGGGCATTAGGGAAAATGTAAGTAGGTGATCAACAGAGGCAACTTATACAACAGATAAATATTTTGACCCTCAATTTGGCATAAAATTACATGGTGCGTCCCTACACATAAATCCCTCTGAAATTAATTAAGCTTGAACAAAAGTAGACAATCTTAAAAGAGAATGTTCAACTCCTTTTCAGTAGAATTTTAAATTCTGGAGAAATGTTCAGGTACATGTTTCCTAGCATTGAAATATTTGATTCAGCCTCTGAGTGTATATGTTTTTTCAGCTTTGTTCAAGGTATATCTCTTTATGAAATCTATAACTGTAGAGTGCTAAGATAGATGCAGTAAACCCTAGCCAATCTTTCAACTCAGTAACATAATTGGTTACCTTGGGATTTCCATACCTGGGTTTGCCAGAGCCAATAGGAAAAGGTTTATGTGTATAACAGCATTAGAAACAACTCCCAAACCCAACTGCCAGTGGAGAGAAATCACATCTTTTGTGATCATGGCCAACTCTGAATTGAGTTATTATAAAAAGGACTTTCTGCCTTTTTGCCTGAACATTTCAAAGAGATTTATTTTAACATGTTGAAACATTGTTAATCAGGAGTTACTCTGAATCTGCTGTGAATATTCCAATGTATATTGATCCCACTTATCCCACTTTGCAGCTACTAGCTGTCATTACAAGAAGAGTCATCTTTTGAGGGGACTTTTAATGAACTGCTCTGTAACCTCATAAAAACAGTCGATAAATGTATAATTTACTTTTTTCTGACATTTAATTTGTCTTTGATGCTTCTTAGAACACAGATTTTTTTGTTTTAATATAGTTCATTGGCATGAGAGAATTCCAGGAAGCTTTAGGGCATTTC